CCTGCGCAGGGGTGGTGCAACCTTTTGGTTCCAACGTCATGGCCAATTTGACAGGTTGTTGGTCCAAGGTAGGTGGCAGGCAGCGAAGACTGCTGGCAATGCTAGCCGAGATGAGGTTCTCTCAATCCCAACTGAGTGCTTGGGTTCGATTATACCAAAACGCACTTAGAAGTGCGCTGCCGAGGCTCGAGCGAGCGTCTAGACGCAGTACAGGGGGACGTGGAAAGAGGTCGAAAAGAGGGAAAAAGGGGTGGTGGCTAGGCTGTTCTGGAGTTTCTTTTTCAAACGGCCTCGAAATGGCACCTGAGCGCCCTAGTTTCTTCCGGCTTGGCGGAAGAGCTAAGGGGGGTGCGGGGGGGGCTTGGCGGGAAAGGGAAATCCTGAGGCCCCTCAAGAAACGGGCTAGGGGCCCTGGGCTAGTTAGCCACCACTAAGAGGACGTAACTTTTTATTTATGACAAAGTTGGACTTGCTGTGCGCAGAAAAAGTGCTGCTTACTCTTTGGACTCACGTAGCGGGTATAAAGAGTAAAGCACTTGTCTGCCGCAGCCACGTCAGTTTAAGGTCCCGCCCGCCCTTCCCACAGGGAAAAAGGGGTGGTGGCTAGGCTGTTCTGGAGTTTCTTTTTCAAACGGCCTCGAAATGGCACCTGAGCGCCCTAGTTTCTTCCGGCTTGGCGGAAGAGCTAGGGGGGGTGCGGGGGGGGATTTCCTCTTTCTTCGGCTTGGCGGGAAAGGGAAATCCTGAGGCCCCCAGTTTGTCAAGAAACGGGCTAGGGGCCCTGGGCTAGTTAGCCACCACTAAGAGGACGTAACTTTTTATTTATGACAAAGTTGGACTTGCTGTGCGCAGAAAAAGTGCTGCTTACTCTTTATATATATATATATATATATTGCACATGTATTCTAAATTAACATAATTATACAGATACACTAAGTTGCTGGGTTGGGATTCCCTTGGCTTACTTCCAAGCTCGCCAGTTCGGACCTGGAATTCCCAGATCCGCCCATTTTTTGCTTAGCTCGGTTTGGTGAGTGCAGATCCGTCCATGGCTTGAAAGGACCGTGGGACTTGGGGCCTAAGTGCGGCCTAATTCAGGCGCGGGGTCATCAGATGGCACCAGCTTCGTTTCTCATGTGTTTTTCGGTTTCGGCGAAGACCGGGCCAGCTGAAAATGATGGATCAGAATCACTTGTCCAAAGCGAATCGACCGGATCTGATTTGGTTTTCCCATGTTAAGGTCCATATTGAGTGGCACCAAAAGGTGATCACCTTTGATTTCCAGGTCCTTTGGGCAACTGAGATCGACTTGGAGCGCTGTTTTGTTATGGAGGGCGATTTGTTTCAGGAAGTGTTTTTCTTTTTTTCAGGGTGGGTGGCTTGTCGGCTTTTGTGACTACGTACATTTCGTCAGAAAATGCTGTAAAATGCATAATTGTCTAGCCGACGAAAAACACAAACAACATAAGGCAAAAACAAAGCCCAAATTAAATCTGGACCCTTTTGTTATTTGCCGTCTCCATTTGTTGAAAGGGCCAGGTGCCTTTTCGGCTCCAGCTGCCTGGTTCTCAACTCTCTTGGACTCGTATGGGGCAGGCTGGCACACGGAAGGCCCTGAGGGGCCGGAGAGGTGGGCACATGGGTCACAGAGTTCGTTTTCCCTAACTTTTGCCTCGGGGCTTCTCCAAAGACTCGTTCCATGTTTTTGGAGCTCCCAGCTCCCCCTGCATTCTGCAGATGACGACCCAAGTTGATGGGGGGTTTGTGACTTGCCTGCCCCGCCCAGTCTGGAAGGTGATGTCAGCCAGGGCGGCCAGGGGCATGAACTACGAAGGCACCCCCATAAACTTTTCGTTCCCGAGCTGAGCGCCTAAGCCTACTTGTTAGAGGTGCATTTTGCAAAAGGATGTTAGGACTTTAACTTTCTGCCAACTAATGGGTTGTCCATCAAACCACTACAAGTTATTCACGCTTAGCAGGGCTCAGCAGACAGCAACCGAGCGTTGCGGAGCGAAAAGGAGCATCCGAGCCTGCGGAATTCGCAGCTTTGGTGAGTGGGTGCGGGCACAACCTGCGCAAGCGCAACTTGAGCGCGTTTGGCTCGCTGTGCTCAAGTTTATCAAATGCCATGCCGGCAGGGTGCGTTTGTTTCATCTCATGCTTCCCGTGATGCCCACACTTTGTTACAAGCGAAAGAAAGGCGGACGGCGCAAGGGGTGTTATGTTAGGCCCAGGTGCACTGGAACCCTGGAACCCCATGCATTCCTAGTCCCCATGTTCAGTCGCGATGTCGTCATTTTGCGCAAGCATATGAGCTGAAGTTGTCCGGGCATGCAGGCCTGTAGCCTTTGGCTGCGAATGTAAACTCCCTCCGGCTAACATGGCACCTCACAGAGGGTCCCTTCAGGAGTAAATTGATCTTCCAGGTACCCAACAGGTGCTATGGTAGTGGGAGGGTGAACTCCAACGGTCAATGTTTGGATGCTTCAGAACAAGACATTCCCGTTTGAGACGGGGTTCTGGTTCAGCATGCGCCCTGCCCTGCCTGCCCTGGTCTGCCATGCAATGCAATGCTGCAATGCTTCCGCTCTGCTGCCTGGCCCGATGTGCACAGCGTGGCAGCTGCAGCTTCTCGCAACGGCTTTTTGTTTACAAAAGACTCGGCGCGGGGCGCGGGGAGGGTGTGCGAGGGGCTGGTGGGGGAGGGCGGCCATGCGTTGCAAGGCAGATTTCGCGCCCCGAAATAGCCTGTTTGATTGTGTGCAAACATGTCCGTATTTGTTTGATTGTTTGTTTGGTTTCGTGCCCCGCAAGGCAGATTTTCGTGCAAACAGGTTGCTTTGTTTGCAGCTTGTTCTTTGGAAGGTAGCAGTCCTGTTGATTTTTTGAGCCGACTTGGGGGAGCCGGACTGAGGTTTCGTTTGGAAAAGTGGGGCCACGACATTGTCACGGGCCCTGGGCTACCTTGGCCTTGGGAGCATGGCTCAAGGTGACAGTCGCGAAAAAGGCTGTGCTTTCCTGGGTCGTCCTTCAATCCTTCAACATTCGGCTGTTCAGACCATTTGGCTGTTGCTTTGTCGTTGTTTGTGTTGTGGGGCACGAGACGCACATCGTCCTCCCAGGCAAAATGAGCTCGTGGCTGGATTTTGCTGTTTGCGGCTCTCATGGGACTTGACCCAGCCAAGGCAACCCATCTGTTGAAGGTCACCTTCACTTCATATATAGCGGCGTCAAAGTCCCAGACACGAGCAAATCTTGAGTGGCTAAGGTACACTGAGTAGCGCCGCGCGGAGCCCCCCAGAGTCGCGCGCCACTTGCCACTCTTCTGTCTTCATGGCGACCTCTGTCCACTAGCAGCGCAATTCGGAATATGAGATGGACGCTTTGGCTGGTAGCTAACAACGTGACTTCCGTGGTTTTGCTTGGCTGCTTTGCTGAAGGAAGTACGGCTGACACCGGCGCTTTTCATTCTTAGAGGCCAGGCTAAGCCCCCGGCTGGTGGAATTCAGAACGCCTTAGCTACATTCCCGCATGCAAGTTGCTTTAGCTTGCGTCTTGGGAAACAAACCTTGGTGGCTCCAAGCCATCCCCTTAGCTTTTTAGCCTTTTAGTATTTAGTGGTAGTTTCCATTTAACCCACTAAAAGTTAAGCTTTTAGCGGGGGATCTGAGGGCAGCCCAGAAACCGCTTCCTTTTGCCATATGGGAATGGCTTTCGCTTTGGCAAGGCGCGAGGATCCAGTCGTGCGGCCGGGTTCAGCGAAGCAAACTTCAACCAGAGGCTTTTGTTTCCGTTCACGTCCTCCGCCGGGCCAGAATTAGTTGTGCAAAAGTCGCGCAGTGCGCGCGATTTCGAGCCAGGAAGCCATGTCGTTTGTGCACTTTGCCTGCATTTTTAGAAACACATGTTGTTCATGACGAGGCCGCCTTTCTTTGCTGGATTAGGTGCCAAATAAGTTGCGGTTCTGATGGGCTCTTGCGTCCCTGTGTGCTCAAATCCCAAACCACCAACTAAGGGCTACCTGAAAAAGCCAACAAAAACCATCGAGAAAAGACACATCCAATATTTAAAGAGTACTTTAGATACGGCAAAAAAAACACAACATGAAGCTAGCCGCCCCCTGGCCACTTGAAAGGGCTGGACCAATAGCAACAAATCTCACCAAACCACCGGACTCCAAACCACCAATTGGAACGAAGCTGATTGGTGCAAAGGAAAGTACTTGACGGCATGTGCTCGAGGCAGGCGACACGCGCCTAGGGGCCTAGTGCTGAATTCGTCCGAGGGCAGAGCGCAGGTGCACTGATTCGATGTCCCTAGGCAATGTGATTTGGAACTTCGAAGTCTACCCTAAGGCTCATGGCCCCTACAATGCAGGCCCTCGGGCCCTCCAATGAAGAACCCGGACCCCTCAAGGGCCCTTAGAGACAGCCATGTTGATCCAAAGCATGCTTTCGACCACATGTGAGGTTCCCCTTGTTTGGATCGGTAGGGGGGAAATGGGAAGCCACCCCATAACCCAAACCTCCAATCAAAACCACCCGTTAGTGGGAAGCTGAACATGTACCATGTTGAACATCTGTTGCCGGGGGCATTGAAACCGATCATGTTTGCACCTGTGCCAACCCTGCCACGTTGCTGGAACGGCTGCGTGGGGTCTGGAAAAAGAGGACGAACTTGTACTTCTGGTTTAGCGTTTTCTCGACTGACTGTTCTTGGCTTGGTTTTGTTGTTCTGTGCAATTCTTGTGAAAACCACACTGCATTCTGCATTGAGATGCGTTGCACTCCGCAGCGTGCATGAGCCTCAGACTTTCTTCAGCTGAGTGAGGAAAATAGGCTTCCCGTAGGCGGCACACGGGATTAGCCCAGTTGGTAGCTGGAGCACTGCCTGTGCAGCCCCGATCAGGGCCGCCATGGAGGACTCGCTGCGTCGCAGCGCTGGTAGCGGTTACTCTGGTGATCCTCCAGATGGTGACCCACGGCACGCCGCAGCTGGCCATGGATGGGCCCCTTCGCTTTCGACCGAGAGCCGCTCTCAGCTCTCTGGTCAGGGCAGCCCTCCTAGGCCACGGCAGCGCCACTTCGAGGACTTTGTCTACGCCCCTGCGGACAACCTTGGTGGCCAGCCGGACTTCATGCAGCCTGAGCCCAATCCACCTCGCGTTAAGGGCATCGGCCAGACGCAAGCCTTCAGGCTGGACAGAGATGACGGGTGGCGGTGCTTGTCGTGCCATTCACCTTCCTTTGTCGCCTGTAAAGGCACCTGGCGGCGCGCCATCTGCGACTTCCCCGAGTTCTACAACGTGAGCCAGCCCACTCGCCGGGCGGCGCCTGAGGGTACTTGGGTCTACATGCCACATGGACAGCCCCAACCTCAAGGACCACCAGTCACCGGCAAGCAATCCGCAGAACCTTCACCATCACCCCGGCCCTGGCGATCCTGAGGCGAGCCAGAACGAGGGTGAGCGTGGAGAGAGTGAAGCCATCACAGAGCACATCATGATCGACCCGGATACCAACCAACCGATAGCTACACGCCGATCGCGCCGACGACGGCGAGGCAAAGGACAACCTGACCCGCCTCTTGAACTACAGCATCAGCAAGACCATGCACTACCTACGATAGCAGCAGCAGCAGCTTCTTCGGGCATTAGCCGCAAGCACTCCACCGACGACTGGAACTCACTGAAAGGACCAGTGCCTGGCATCAAGTACCGCGGCGGACAACCTCCTGTCCCACCTGCCTGGCACTATGACAAGAACGACATCAACACGTTCAGCAAATGGAAGCGGAAGGTCGACATCTGGATGCTCCAGGTGTGCAGCTACGTGCCTCGGAAGGAGGCCGGAATCTTGCTGTTCAGCCCTCTGCGGGGCGAGTTGGAGGAGGAGCTCGAGCACATGAGCGTCGATGACATCTTCCACCCGGAGGGAGTTCAGAACATCATGTCCGTCATCCGACAGGCCGTTGAGGCCAGGACAGTCCACGTCAAGCGAAAGCTACTTCACGACTACGAGCGCGTCGCCCGCTTCCCCAGGAGTCGATGAGGTCCTACACCAACAGGTACCGACGGGTGGAGCGAGCCCTGGAAGCCATCAACATCAGGGTCACCGCCATGTACGACGCCGAGGCCAGAGGCAGCAGGTTGCTCGACCGCAGCAAGCTGCCCCTGGATGCCCAACGGAACGTGCTCATCGGCACTGCTCAGAGCCTGGACTTCGACAAGGTCAAGGACGTTTTGCTGTTCCAGTACCCAGAACACCGTGCTCCAGCTCCTGTCTACGGTTCAGATCGCCCACCGCATCAAGCCGGGAAAGGATCCGGAGGCAGCAAGGGACACTGCTTTAAGGGCAACCACAAGGGCAAGTCCAGCGACAAGGGGTACCACTCCAAGGAGCGCCCCGCCTACAAGGGCAATCACAACAACAACCAGACCTGGGTGACCAATGCGACGATCGCCGAGGAGCAGCCCTACTCGCAGGACTACCAGGAACAGGACCACGACGAGACCTTTGACCCGCAGGCTGAGCCAGAGGTCTTTGATGAGCCAGAGCAGGCCGAGGCGGAAGCAGACCAGGATCAGGACGATTTTGGGGACGAGACGGATCCGGACATCGCCGAGGTCCTCACCGTGACAGCGAAGCGCCTCAGCTCCATCGTCAAAGCACGCGGCTTCAAGAATGGCAACCGCTCCATTGAGGAGCGCAAGAGGACGTCACACTGTGCGTCCTGTGGTGAGCAAGGTCATTGGCAAGGAGACGAGGTTTGCAAGACCTCCGCTGGCTCCAAAGGAGGCTCCAAGGGAGGCAAGCCATCGGACGGAAATCAGTCCAAAGGCAAGAGGCCTGCGCGCAGCTTTAAAGATGACGCGAAGGCTGCGCACACCGTGCGTTTTGTGGATCACCATTTTGGGTGCCAAGCAGAAGATGAAGATGACGGTGAACCCCAAGGCCCCTTCACGCCCCACCAGACCTTCATGGTTTACACCACGCCATCAAAGTTTGACGTGTTCTTGACGGATGCCAGCAAACTTGCCGGGTAATGATCTTGGACACAGCCTGCCAACGCACATGTGCTGGAATCGCCTGGGCCACCGCGCAAAGGACCAAGCTCAAGCAGTTCGGCCTCGCTCCCATCGAGATCACAAGGCACGAGACGTTTGAGTTCGGGTCGGGCCAGCCGATCGTGTCGGACACCCTCATGTACCTCCCATCACTGCTGGACAACCACATGTGCCTCATTGGAACCTGCATTCTGCCATCCAAGATCCTTTGCTGGCAAGTAGGCCACTGATGGCATCCCTGGGCACCATCATTGATCTGACCACCATGACCGCCCAGTTCACCAAGATCAATGTTACGGTCCCCCTTTGCATCATGAACGGCCACATTGCGGTTCAGATTTCTGAGTTTGAGCAGCAACCCCAATGCACCAAGCAACTTCGGGATCGGCATGATCAGTACCAGCATGATGTTGTGTCAGGATACGTTAGCGGTGAAGTTTATTCACTGCAGCATCAGGCTCACATGGCCGCTCAGCCACCTAGCATCAGCGAGCCCATCAATTCGTGTCTCGCCCATGCCCCGACAGCCCCAACCACCACCAGTATGGCTCTGGCGGTGGAAACATCTTACCAAGAGGGCGATGGTGTGGAGACGACAAGCCGTGAAGTTTCTTCGTGAGCGCTTCTCCGACGCCTGGTCCGAACCTGGAGACCGCCGAGCCCATCAGCACGATTGCCTAGCTCCCCGAGAGCGGCTACCCCCAGGACACCAACACGGGCAGCTGCACACATCAACACATCAAGAGATCGGGGAATCGGCACGGCAGCTACGCCGCTTGCATGCAGTGCGGCCGGAAGTGGAAATGGAATCAGGATATGAACGGATGGGAACACTTCGTCGCGGCATCGCGTTCCTCACGGTTGCCACCGCCTTCCTCAGCAACTGTCTTGGACAGTTCGTGGGCGGCGCCGACATCAGCCCGACCACCTTTGGCGCTGACAGCTCCTCCGGCATCCCGCACTACGACATCGACGGCTGGGAGCCGATCCAAGGCCAAGCCCGCGGCGAAGGTCAAGACCGCGGCCAAGCCGACCACCAGGCCAAAAGCAGAACACCCGGATCACTGGGGTCTGATCAGCCTGGCCACCAACGACATCAGGATGTCAAGGGAAGCATCCGAGATTCCAACAGACTCGGAGAACAGCGTCAACTACGATTGGGCGTATGTCGAAGGCTGACCGGACGACTACGGCAGGCAGCACAGGTTTACAAGATCGAGACGCAGGTCTACGATAAGCTGCCGCACCACAGATCAAAGCCAGCCGCGTCGACATCATGGAGCTCTACGCTGGCCAGGCAGAGATCAGCTACCGAGCTCACCAATACGACCTCAAGGCATGCCAGCCCGTGGACCTTCTCTACGGTCAGGACATGTTGCACCCAGTTCAGCGCAGACAGTGGCGAGAGACTCAGTGGAGACTTATAGGCCACTCACGCTGATCGCTGCGATGGAATGCACCCACTGGAGCATCTTCAACGAGAACCTCAACTACCGCGGCAAACACAGGTTGGATGACCTCCAGCGATTACGGCAACAACAAGAGCCACTCGTCGACTTCGCCATCGACGGCGCCTTATCTAGAATCTGGGAGCTTCCCCGGATGCAAGAGCTCGCAGCCCGCGATGACGTCTTCATTGTGCAAGGCCACTCGGGCGCCTACGGCGGCGTCAACAGCCAAGGCCTCATGATTAAGAAGACCTTCCAGTGGATGACCAACAGTCGGGACATCGCGGATGCAGTCTCACGGAAGTTGGATGAAACACAGCTCCAGTACTGCACACCACTTCAGGGAGCAGATGTACGACAGAGCGCTGTCTACCCCGCCAACCTCGTGAAGGCAATCCTCCGGGCCATCAAGCAGGAGGCACAGCGAAGGACGCCAACTCGGTTTCTGGTGCCCAAGCAGGTATTCCACCAAGAGCCTGTTCGGGACCCAGAGTCGTGGAGCGACGCTCTGGAAAAGGTAGTCCGGGTTTTCAACGCGACCCCGATGAAGTCGCTGACCTTGCCAGATGACGACCCGCTCTACCAGCAGATCTGCCTTTTGGTCCCTTGGAAGATCATCAGGATCCAGATCACCAGATGCCCAGTACAACGACGGCTACCACGAGACATCAACTACAGCCACCGCGGCGCCCTCATCCAGTACCAGGACGGGACAGTGCAGGTCGAGACAGAAGCTCTGGACGGTCTGCGCTACCCCAAGCAGAAGTTCAGTAAGGCAGCGGCCTACGGCATCTTTTGGTTTGGCTTTGGAGATCCAGAAGATGCAGAAGCTGAGAAACAACAACCACCAATCCAGGAACCTCAAGCACTACCACCAGAAGGCCTTCCGATGCAGAACAGGGCGGAGGTGACGTTCCCGAACTGTCCGGCAAACATCCAAGTCGGCCGTGACGCGGATGCGCCTCAACTTGGGGCACCCCACACAGAAGGAGCTCATCCGCATGCTCGCGTGGCAGGGAGCCATCTCCGAGCACATGATCACGGCGATCCGCCATCTTCACTGCGATAGCTGTTTGAGGACGACCAGGCAGAAGCAGCCTAGGCCGTCTGCTTTCTCCAGGCTGACGTTTTCTGGTGTCGCGACCTCCAAGGAATCAACCACCCGGTGCTCGGGGTGATTGATCAGTCCACACTGCTACACCAAGCGGCACGACTACCAGACTTCCTTCCCGAGACCACCAAGGACATCTTCAAATGGTTGTGGTGCAAGCCCTACGGGTTCCCCTACAACCTGCGCATCGACCAGGGTGGCAACTTCGGAGGTGCCTTTCGCACCTACATGGAAGGTCACGGCGTCATGTTGGACATCATACCAGCCGAGACGCGCTGGCGCATCGGCCTCATTGAGCGCCGCAACAGCATCCTCAGAGACACTCTTGAGAGGGTGATAGACAGTCAGGCCGTGACCGACACTCAGGGCTTCGAAGACGCTCTTGATGCTTCGGTCCATGCCATGAACAGCTTCACCTACAGCCACGGGAGGCCCGCATACATGGCCGTGTTCGGGCAGATTCCCCGCGTTCCTGGAGGGCTTCTTCAGGACAACCGCAGTTTGTGCTACAAGCCCGAACAGACCGACAACTTCACCCGGCCAGAAATCCTTCGTGCAGAGGCCGTCAAGGCCCTTGCAGAGATCAACGCTTCTGCTGCTTTGCGAAGAGCCTTGTTGAGGAAGACAGCAACCACCATCCGCAGAGACCTTCTACCTGGACAACCTACCGCGTTTTGGCGGTGGCAGAACCCCAGAGGAAGAACTACGCGCAAACGCGGAGGATGGACCATGGCTCGCTTCCTTAGCTACGACCCCGACCTGAAGTCGGCTTGGGTTCACTCCGGAACTACGACCATGCAGGTCGCAGTCGAACAAGTCAGGGCAGCCTGCGGCTTTGAGTCATGGACTCCCGACAAGGGGGACATCGACCTCCTTCACGACGCTGCCCGCAACATCCGAGAAGATATGTGGGAGGACCATCGAGCCGCTGGACATGACCCGGAGGAGGACAGCTACGACTTTGAGTTCCCGACAGAACTCGCACTACCACTCGCAGCACCCCCGACTGAACCCCAACCTCACGACTTACCAGCACCTGTAGAGGAAGCACCAGCACAGCAACTACCTCCACAAGTCTCACAACAATCCCAACACGTGCAGCAGGAACAGGTGATCATCAACTCACCAACCTACAACACTCATTACCATCCTCAACGTTTCGGACCAACCCGACAACAACTGCAGCTACACCCCCAGGTCCTCACACGCACTCGCGGCAGATCGAGGACACCATCACGGGCACTACGTGCAGCACAATCACAGCCACAGTCCCCTGCAGCCACACCACATCAGAGACCACGAGCACCATCCACGGGGACACAAGCAGCAGTTTCAACCGCCGAGCAACCCAGACAAGCTCACCAGCCACCAGACGTCCAGCACCAAACATCACAACCGGCGGCATCTACACACCACTCACTAGCGGAACCATCAATTACTGGGCAGGACACTCCAGTCCTTTTCGACCCAACAATCCAAGCACCATTCACACCACCTAGCATTCGCGACCAGCCAGGAGAACAACCACCGACCATCGACCTCACCGACAGAGCAGACGACAGCACAGCACTTCCAACGGTCCCATCTAAAAGGACCCACTCCACATGCTCACGCGCAACCATCCCACGATCGAACCACCACCACTCTCATGGGACGGCAGTCCAGACACTACCTCACAACTCAACAAGCACTCCACTGTCTTCACGGCGGCAGCAGTGCAACAGCTTAACAATGAAGGCCATTCGGTCTTGGTGACTGACGTCACCCACAACAAGCATTCAGACGCCGAGGAGGCATCATCGGGCGATGATGCACCACCACAGCAGAAAATGCTCAACCGCAAGGAGGCCAAGGCCCTCGAGCGGGAGATCCCTTGGCGGAAGATCATGATGCTTCCCCTGGCAGACATTGAGATGTACATCCAGTCTGCTCGCAAGGAGGAGCAGGGATGGGAGAGCTGGGGATCGGTGATACCCCTCAGTGACCGCTCCTGCTTCAGGAACAAGAGCCGCGTTCCCGGCAAGCTGGTTGCCAAGACGCGGGTGGTGGCATTGGGCCACTTGGACCCAGATTTGGCTGTGATCTCGAGGGACTCTCCGACACCTACGCGTCTCAGAGTACACCCTGTTGGCCATATATGCCGCAGGAGCAAACGGCAACGTGCAGAACTCCGGCATCAAGTGGACGCTTTGGGCCGGAGACGTCTCCACGGCCTTTCAGGGACTTCCTGATGCTGATGAGCGGCCAGATGACCTGTACCTCTTGCCGCCCCAGGACGAGATCACTAGGAGAGCTGGAACCTTTCCGGCGCGCCTCTACAAGGTCAGCGGCAACATCTACGGATTGGCCAATGCCCCTCGGACATGGACCAGAGAGGTGACACGCCGATTGCTGCAAGCAGACTTCAAGCAGCACGCCATGGACAAGATGCTTTTCTACAAGCACATCGGCAACCGCCTGGCGTGCGTCGTCATCGTCTACGTTGACGATTTCCTCATGACTCACTCTTCAGAGTTCAACCGGCAGGAGGTGATCGACCTCTTCACCTGGGGATCCCAGAAGGAACTTGGGATCGACGCGCCCTTGGACTTCAAGAACAAGGAGATCACGCTGATCCCCAACGCCCAGGGCTACAAGGTGAAGGTTACGCTCAGGAAGTTCACCGACAACACGCCCTCGCCGTCGAAGCTTGGACGCCGCAAGCCGGATGAACCACCCACAGCCTCTGAGAAGACCGAGGCCAAGTCCATCAACGGAAGCCTTCAATGGCTGAGCTCGCAATGCAGGCCAGACCTTTCTGCCTGGACCAGCCTTAACTCACGGAACCTGCCTGTGCTCAACGAGGCGCTGGTCTATGCCAAGAGCTCTCCGGATGTCGGCCTCACCTTCAACAACGTGCCCATCAACGAGAGCACCGTCATCATTGGGTACGCTGACTCCTCATGGGCGAACGCTGAGCAGTGTGCATCGCAGCAAGGGGTGATCGTGATGATTACATCCCCCAAGTGCGCAGAAGCCAACACACCAGCGACGATCATCGACTGGTGCTCCAACAAATCATCCCGGGTTTGCAAGAGCACCCTGGCAGCCGAAGCCTCGGCATGCGTTAAGTCCGTGGACCGGGCCTACTTCGTCGGACTCACCTTCGGCGAGCTCTTGGATGGAGTACCTGCACATCGCGCTGTCCGCCACCTTCGGCAACTTCAGGTGACGGATTGCAAGAGCCTCTACGACGCCATCAAGGCCCAGAACCCGCGCACTTCTGAGAAGAGGACCTTCGTGGATTTGAGGTCCATTCAGGAGTACATAGATGTGCGTTCGATCCGCTGGGTGCCCACTGAGCATCAGCATGCAGATGCTCTCACAAAGTGCGATAAGGCACTGAGGGCTTCGTTTTCGCAGTGGCTCAGCTGCCCATATGTGCAACTGACCGAAGGTCAGACACGGCGAAGCGCGCTGACATCGTGCTGAGCTTTCGGCACTTTAGAGTTTTGGGTGTGTGAAAACCACACTGCATTCTGCATTGAGATGCGTTGCACTCCGCAGCGCGCATGAGCCTCAGACTTTCTTCAGCTGAGTGAGGAAAATAGGCTTCCCGTAGGCGGCATACGGGATTAGCCCAGAATTCTTACGTTTGGGGCCGGCGCATACCAAGGGTTGCAAATATGTTTGCTTGGCACCCAGCTGGGATCTATAGTCGAAGATGGCAAGGCTTGTCGAAAGCACGAGTTAAGTGAAGGGCTGCTTAGGGCCACATCTCTGGCCTTGCCAGGGTTATGTGCAAGGAATAAAGAAACTTGCAATGCAGATCTGTGTTGCCTGAAATGATCAACCAGTTGGACGAGGCGGAATCTGGAATTGGCACGCCATCGCCGATCCTCAAGATGAGCTTGGCTCTTTGCAAAAAGTTCCAAAGAAGAGGGAACTGGAGCCGGCCCAAAGCACCCACTCATGAGATTTGTTTGCATGCTTCACCTTGTTGACCTTAGGCGGGACAGATCTCCTTTGGCGGACCTAAAGCATCCCTGAAGTGAAAGTATCTCCTTTGGGGTGTCCGCAGGAGCGACCCGAATTGGGGCAGACACTGCGAGCGCCTACACACACACAAGCGCACAAGCACAAAATCACACAGACACAGCCACAAACATGTACACACACACAGACACCCACGCACGCATGTGCACACACACACACACATACGCACGCACACACGCTCAAACACCCATACCCACACCGACACCGACACCCCACCCCCACCTCCCCCCACCCACACACACACACAACCACAAGCATTTACCAATCATTCATACGCAGAGAGGCACACACCCACACCCACACCATGTGCGCGGTAGATGATCCGACAGCAGCGCTGGCCATGGCATGTCGCGGTGTGAGGCCGGACCAACTTTTTGGCAGAGCCTGACCGTTGCCGAGTTGTTTTGAAGGATTTCGAGGCATTGACGTTGCCTCTTCGGGTGATCATTGTTAGCAATCCGTACGCCTTCGCAAATCTAGGCCCCTAGGACAAATTTGGGCCAGTCAAAAACCACCCAACACCAGTTGACGTAGAGGATCCAAATTCTCGATCAAGTTGTTTTGGGATTTTCAGGAAACCTGAAGGACCATGGAACTTTCCCTTGCAAGAGGCCCACCCGGCACAGCGACGCTGGGTATTGGCGCTGGCGCAGGCCGGTTGGCTTGGGAGGCAAGAGGGTAGGTGTCAGGTTTTGCTCTTGCTTTCCCTTTGAGCCCCCAAAAAACACCTAAGAAGTGGGTCAGCTCTCAGAAACAGACAAGCTCCACGAGTTTCACTTGTGGCCGTTTGCCAGTGGGAATCCTGCAGCGAGACCTGGGATGCCTTCAAGAAGGCTTTATGGGGCCCAGTTTAACTTTGGCACGGTAGAGTGGACGTGCTAAGGTTGGGGGGTTGGCTCTTTTGCCTTTTGGTTTTTTGCTTTTTTGCCTTGTGTAGGTTGGGAAAGGCATGCGTCACAACCAAATCCAGCTGGCTCCCAGACATCCCTTAGGCTTGTTAGGATTTTAGGGTTTAGTGGGGTGTTCCATTTAACCCACCCCCCAAAAAAGACTTATAGAAAGTGATCTGAGGACAGTTTGTTTGGCCACGGTTCGGTTCGGTTCGGTTTCCAGAAACCTAACCTGTTGAATTACGGCTCGGTTCGGTTTCTCATCTGAAATCGGTTCGGTTTGGTTCGGTTACTATGGTATTTTTTCGGTTCACGGCTCTTTGCCCTGTGCTACTTCCAGCCGCGCACCACACCACAAGGCACTCATTAACACTTTCAGCACCACCTCCATCCCCAACTCCACTTTCACAGCCTCACCTCCAGCCTGTCTGCAGCCTCACCGGCCTCGCCTCCAGCCTCACCTCCAGCCTCATCCCAGCCTCACCTCCAGCTCACCTCCAGCTTCACCTCCAACCCTCACCTCCCCTGCCTCCAGCCTCGCCTCCAGCCTGCCTGCAGCCTCACCTCCAGCTTCACCTCCAACCCTCCTCCACCCCAGCCTCGCCTCCAGCCCCTCCACCTCACCTCTCCCCTTCAACCTCACCAGCCTCACTTCCAGCCTTACAACCTTCACCTCCAGCCTCACTTCCAGCCTCGCTTGCCTTCCCTCCAGCCTCACCTGCCTTCACCTCCAGCCTCACGTCCCCCTCTTCAGCCTCACCAGCATCACATCCAGCCTCACTTCCAGCCTCACCTCCCGCCTCCTCACCAGCCTCACCTTCACTTTCACTTTCACCTCCAGCCCCACCACCTTCACCTCCAGCAGCCTCACCTCCAGCCTCATCTCCACCTCACCTCCAGCCTGCCTGCCTCACCTCCAGCTTCACCTAGGCTGGAGGTGAGGTTGGAGGGGATGGTGAGGCTGAAAAAGAGGCAGGTGAGGCTGGATGGGGCATGGTGGGGCTGGAGGTGAAAGTGAAGGTATGGCTGGTGAGGAGGCGGGAGGTGAGGCTGGAAGTGAGGCTGGATGTAGGCTGGAGGTGAAGGTGGTGAGACTGGAAGTGAGGCTAGTGAGGTTGAAGGGGAGAGGTGCAGCTGGGAGATGGAGGGGCTGGAGGCGAGGCTGGAGGCAGGGTGGAGGTGGAGGTGAAGCTGGAGGTGAGGCTGCAGGCAGGCTGGAGGCGAGGCTGGAGGCAGGCTGGAGGTGAGGGTTGAAGAGGCGGGGGGATCACTTTGGTCGCAGATTTTGGATCACTTTGGTCGCAGCTGAAATCCACTCACTTTGGTCGTAGTTTGAGCATTTGCGGATCACTTCTGTCGCAATTTTTGGATCACTTCAGGCGCAGTGGAAGATAGCTTTTTGAGCACTAACAACAGGACACACGCAAAGGGTGTTGCCTCTCAAACACCTAACAACAAGACATGCCGCGTGGGGTGGGGTCGACAAGGATGTTGCCTCTCAAACACCTAACAACAAGACATGCCGGGTGGGGTGGGGTCGACAAGGATGTTGCCTCTCAAACACCTAACAGCAAGACATGCCGGGCGGGGTGGGGTCGACAAGGATGTTGCCTCTCAAACACCTAACAACAAGACATGCCGGGCGGGGTGGGGTCGACAAGGATGTTGCCTCTCAAACATCTAATGACAAGACATGCCGGGCGGGGTGGGGTCGACAAGGATGTTGCCTCTCAAACACCTAACAACAAGACATGCCGGGCGGGGTGGGGTCGACAAGGATGTTGCCTCTCAAACACCTAACAACAAGACATGCCGGGTGGGGTGGGGTCGACAAGGATGTTTCCTCTCAAATACCATAGTCAACGGCGAAGAAACTAGGACCGAAGCGAGTAAGGAAACTAGGACCGAAGCGAGATGAAAACTAGGACCGAAGCGAGCCAGCAACTAGGACCGAAGCGAACCCGCGACCGGAGGTGAGGGTTGGTCACCAGCCTCACCTCCAGCTTCACCTTCAGCTCCACCTCCACTCTCACGACCTTCACCTCCAGCCAGCCTTCCAGCCTCACCTCCCGCCTCCTCACCAACCTCACCTTCACTTTCACCTCCAGCACTCCAGCCTCACCTGCCTCCCCTTCAGCCTCACCAGCATCCCCTCCAGCCTCACCTCCAGCCTCACCAGCCTCACCTTCAGCTCCACCTCCACTCTCACAACCTTCACCTCCAGCCAGCCGTTTGCAGCCTCACCGGCCTCACTTCCAGCCTCACCAGCCTCACCTCCAGCCTCATCACCAGCCTCACTTCCAGCCTCACCAGCCTCACCTCCAGCCTCATCTCCAGCCTCACTTCCAGCCTCATCTCCAGCCTCACTTCCAGCCTCACCAATTACCTTTAGCCTGCCTCCAGCGCCGCCTCCTGGCGGGCACGGAAAAAAACCCTCCCAAAAAACCCTCGGCCGTCCTCCCAGGCGCCGCCCCAGCCGGCCGAGCCGCCGCACCCGTCCCACTCCTGACAGGCGTGAAAAAAAAAGAAAAAAAGGCGAGGGCAAACCGGGCCTTGGGCGGCTCCCACCACCCCCAGCACTCCTCTCATCAGCTCAGATACCTTCCCCCAATATGTTGGTTGAGCAAGGGCAAGGGCCTTGAGGCCGCTTTTGGTGGGATATCTTTTGGTGGCAATGCATCACAGCCTGCCCTGGGCTGCTGAAGTTAGTTTTGTTTGGCAACCTGGCAAAGTGCTTTTATTTGGGCCTACTCCAAGGGGACCACTTATGTCTTTAGACCCTGTCCAGCTAAATGACTGGCTAAGACATCCAGACTGTGACAAGTGCTTTGGCAGTTTTGATTTCCTGGTGCTTTTAGCGCTTCTGATAATCTGAGCTTTGACAAGCGGAAAATTGAACGAGCTGAGCCGCTGAACTCCACGATTCTGGCTCCTCACCAAGCTCCAAACCTAACGATTCGGTTGTTTTCCCCTGGGCGGTTCGGTTCGGTTCGGCTTGTGAAAATAACGGTTCGCAGACGGTTCGGTTCGTACGGTTCGGTTCCACGGTTCCTGGGAACCTTGAAGTTCTTGTTCTCAGGGTTGTTCCTTTCGGAACCTCCCCTTGGGCTTTGCAACTGAGGCAGGGACAATTCATCGATTTCAATGCCTTTTTCAGACAAACCAAGAACCCATTGGTTCCATGCCTCGTGTTTTGTTTTTTTGCGGGGGGGGGGGGGGGCCTGACTTCCTCCAAAAGAATCAAACCCAAGGCCCGCAAACCAAGAGGCCGAGAGGCGCACCGGCCCTTCGCGGGCTGTCAGCTGGACCGCGGCGCTGCTGCAGCTCAAAGGCTGCGGTGTCCACATGTGCCATGGTAAATCCCCCATGGGGTTGACAGGTGGCAAGGACTCATGGCAAGTAGAGGCTGATTACTATGAAGGGGATGACTGTAAGGACGCATGGCAAGTAGAATGATTACCATTGAACCAAATCATTCCACCGCAAGTAGTCAGGACTCTTAATGATTAGCCCGGGAAATATGTCCAGAGTGCCTTCCACAAGGCGCCCGGTCGGTCGCAGGTCGGTCTGTGTAGCTTTGAGCTGGTCTTGTTGGGATGGGTTCAAAGGGAAACCGGCAGAATCACGCACTTTCTGGGTCATTAGTAGTACATGAGGGATTGGGGAGCTCACTGCAGGTCCCACAAAGCCAAGGGGAAAGCTTACTTTCCCATGTCTTTGGGGAACAAGAAGGCGTCGCATTGGCACGTGCAGCTTGGTTCTGCCGCCTTCCAATCCGCGCGATGTCAGCTTCTGCTTGGTGCAGTATGTTTGCGTTGCTGAGAGCAACCTTAGCCCTGAGTTGCAGATGGGTCTTTTTTATTCCCCAAACAGTGTGTCTACACTAAGGGGTTCTTACGGTAAGAGAAAAGGCCTTGGTGCCAGATTGAGGTGCCCGCTCTGGCCGCGAGCGTTTTGCGTGGTATTTACCGCAGATTCGTGCTCTTGCTTGATGTCAAAGTGCGTTTCGACTGCGCAGGCTCGCACAAAGTGAGTTGGCGACTTCTGGCCGCGAGCGTTTTGCGTGGTATTTACCGCAGATTCGTGCTCTTGCTTGATGTCGAAGTGCGTTTCGACTGCGCAGGCTCGCACAAAGTGAGTTGGCGACACCTGGCCGGCTGCTTTTTTGGCGGCTCCGAGGACCGTGGGGGTTTTGTCTCGTGGTCCGGCGGCACAGGTTTCCGGCTTGAAGATCCCGGGCTCGTTCCCGCCCTTATCGCGGCTGTTTCGCTGGCGGCGCTGGATGGGGTGGCTGCTTATTAGCGACGGCGTGGAGTGGTATATGAACAACAACGCCCAACAGCAACCGCAACAACAGCAACCACAAATCGAAATAAAGGAAGAAACGCCATATTATTGCTCTCACTCGTTACCTGGTGATATTCAGATCTTTGCGGCGTTACAAACACACGCACACACGCACGACCATGGCGCTGGCTTCAACACGTGTCTGCTGCATTCTCTTGCGCGTGTCTGTTCCAGGCCGTGTCCTTGTCTTTGTGAATGTGCACGCAAATACCGCAAAATGATGTTGCAGCTTCCTGACAACAACCGCCGTTTTGCGGCGCTGCCCGCACAATACTCTGCAGCGTGTGACCGCCGCCTATCACTGTTTGGGGTCTCGCGCCGGGGTAAATTTTGTTTTTTCGAAGGAATTACCAATATTGTTTGTATTTTAAGAAACAAAAGAAGAACCTCTTGGCCCTTGACAGTAACTTTAAGAATATTTATCATTTTCCCCTGGTTCCCCAAACAGTGTGTCTATAAGGAGTTCTTTTACGGTAAGAGAAAAGACACGGTGCCAGATTGAGTGCCACATCTCTGGCCGCGAGCGTTTGGGTCAGTATTTACCACGGGTTGTGTAACTGCTTGATGTCGAAGTGCGTTTCGATGCGCAGGCTCGCACAAAGTGAGGTGTCGACTTCTGTCCGCGAGCGTTTCGCGTGGTATTTACCGCAGATTCTTGCTCTTGCTTGATGTTGAAGTGCGTTTCGACTGCGCAGGCTCGCACAAACTCGATTTTTTTGCTTTTTTGGCGGCTCCGGGGACCGTGGGGTTTTTGTCTCGTGGTCCGGCGGCATGGGTTTCCGGCGAAAGGTCCCGGGCTCGATTCCCGCGCGAGCTTGTTTCCCTTTCTTTGGGCATGCTTGGATGGTGCTTCTGTGCTGCGACGGCGTCTCGATGGTACTCTGAACAACAACACCCAAAAACAGCAACAGCAACAGCAACAGCAACAGCGCCACAATCGAGAACAAAGGAAGAAGCTGTTGTTGCTCTCAACTCAAACACCTAAGTCGGCTCATTTTGAATCTTGCGAGTTTTGTGGTGTTGCACACACACACACACGCACAAACACGCACAAACACACGCACACACGCACACACGACCATGGCGCTGGCTTCGACACGTGTTTGCTGCATTCTCCTGCGCGTGTCTGTTCCAGGCCGTGTCCTTGTCTTTGTGAATGTGCGCGCAAATACCGCAAAATGATGTTGCAGCTTCCTGACAGCAACCGCCGTTTTGCGGCACCTTCCACCTGATATACAGCGTGTAGGCGCCATACTTATCACTGTTTGGGGTCTCGTGCCGGGGTAATGGTTTTTAATGGGTTGTACCACACCTGATTTTTTATGATTATGTGTGTTTTTTCCCGGGGACTTCAGCAAATGGAGAGGTCCATCTTGGTGAGGCCCCCCCCATACAAGGCACTGGTTTGCCAGGCCTACGCAATGCAGTTTGCTTCAACATCACCGCCGGGAGCTGTCAGATGCACGGCAAAAACAAGAAGTCGGTTCCTCTTTGACCCTCGGTTTTCGGTTGGTTTTGCATTGCAATCCACAGTCGCATGCAACGTCGCTGAAATGGCTGGACAAACAAGCCGCTTTGTTGATGCCATGTTGTGAAAAGTACGGGGCCCCAAGTGCAACATGTGAGCTGGGTTGCTTCGTTGGATGCAAGAGTCCACCGGACTTGAGGAAAGATGGTGAGTTGCCATACCCTTCACAAAAGCGCCCTGTCATACCTTATCCACAAAGGGGCACTGAGTTTACCTCAACAGTGGTTGGCAGTGCTCAGGAAGGCGCGGCAGTGGAGAAGGTCGATTAGCCTTTTCGAGGAGATGCCACAACGTGGGGTGCGGACTGACCTGGTTAGCCGCGCCCTGAGCCATAGGAAGACAAGTGCTGTGACAAACCAATCATCAAAACGAAAATCGAGGGATGTGGCTCCTGTGGGGATAGCAAAATGGACTTGGCTAGAGGGCGCAGTTTCGGAACTTGGTCTAGTCATCCCTTTACTTTTCCACCAGGAAAGTGTGTCATCTACTTGCATCCTGCAGGTGGGCGTGTGCCAATGGCCAACAGAAGGCGTCAGAGTCAGACATATGCCAGGTCGTTGGTGGAGCGAAGAAAATCTGCGTTCGCACATTTCACGACCCGAGTGGGTTTGACCCACGTCGCATACACGACATGAATCCCTCTGAATTTTCAGTCCATGCCGGGTCCGATCGCTTGACGTTCAGATTTTTCTGCAAATTCAAGGGGGGCATGGGAAACGAGGCATCCCCACCCCCTCCAAAATGGAATTGGGGGAGGGGGGGTGACCTGGAGATCTCCGTTTGTGGTTCCATTTTCCCTTTTATGTGGACTAGATAACTGGAACTGGGGTTCCCTTAACTTTAAGGTAGGGGGGGTGACGAGGCCTCAACACGCTGGCATTCACTGCCTGGCGTGGGGCGCTGCTTCTCCTTGAGGCCGCAGCAGCGCCTCGGCGAAGTTGGGACGAGACTTGCGCTCCCTCTTCAAGCACACGACTCAAAGTCAGAGGGGGGTGGCTTCCTCTCTTCCCCAGAATTAGCTTAATTTGCTCCCCTTGTTTTTATTTTTATTTTTTGGGGTCCCTTTGTTTTCCACTAACCAGGCCAAAAAAACACATTATTGTTGCTGTGGTCCTAATTCCCTAGCTCTGCGGCCCTTTGAAACCAAGCAAAAGCTGGCTGGCGCTTCGACATAGAATGCCGGACTTCTAGGCTGATCCACAAGATTATGCGGCCAACATGTGAGAAATGACGAACGCACATACTCTATGCAGCGGTTCCTGAAGATGGAATGCGTGCCAACACACATGTTGTAAGTTATTCAAGTCAAATCGACTAAATCATGATCAAGTTGGTCTTGTTGTCAGCATTTCGTTTTCATGAATCATGCTGATGGTCATGCAGTTGGACCTCATTGCAATAGCATTGCCATGGCCGGTAACCATACATCATGCATGTATACATACATGTCCTTTGCGAACATGATGTTTAAACTAGTTTACTTGCAATTTGCATGTTAAGGTCGATTTTCAATAGAGACTCCTTTCCAATTTGTACTGTAAGTCAAACTGAATTCAATGTTAGATGGAATTTCATGAGAAACTGTTCATGTTCAGTTGAAATAGGATCTCCTTTCCAACTAGGACTTTGCATTGAACTTTGATTTCCCACGCTGAGCTTCTGGAAGAGCTGGAGGAGCAGGCTGCTCCCATAGGGATCTCCACGCCAGGGCCAAAAAAAAACTGCCGGTGCCAAAATCGGGACTGGTGAAAGCCCGAAGACTAAGAGTCCCCGAAAGTACTCTCAGATTCTTGTCTGAATTTTTGCACGCTGAAGGTCTTCAAGCAGCAAGTCCGAACTCTTGCCCAGCCTTTTGTCGGACATCCTCCCAGACTGTCATCTGACTGTCTTGCAAAGTTACTGCACCCAGAGATTTCGGTTTCCTTCGGCTGAAGGTGCTTGGCCTCGTTCGTTGGCCAACAACATGTTCTGCGGCGACGCGAACAAGCTTGCTGCACTGGACGCCATACCTTTCTCGGCAAGCTGCGCCACCTTGGATGCAACGACCCGGCCGCTTCCACGCCTCGACGTCTTGCTGACGTCCACCAAGACGACGAGCCAGTAACTGCCAAAGTAACATGACGCTGGTGCACCTGTGCGAATCGCTCCCAGGCTTGCCATCGTCAAAACGACAACCAGGCTTATTCCTGTCTAGCCCAAGCTGTGCAATGGCACCCAGCCAACGGTCCCTTTCGCGCATTCAACGCAAGTGCGATTCGCACAGCAAGAAGTCACCTGCGATGCTAACATGTCTTTCGCCGCGGCATCTAAACACTGCCTTGGCACTCTGTGTTGGTGCTGCGAGGCTGTGTGTGTGTGCATTGGGTAGAAGCTGTTTTTGCGCAGGCGAGATTTGCTGCTTACCGCCACTGGTGCTAAGCTGCTACACGCAAAATAGAGCTAACTGCTTCTGCTCAGGCTAATGCAGCTTCAAGGCCACCAAAGGCAAACGTGGGGACAAGCCCTGGGCGGGCCCAAGCCAAGACATCGCAGAGAACAGACATTTCGATGGTCCACAACCACGCTCTGCCCGAGAAACAGCGCACAAGCAAAGTGGCTGCAGAAGCTAGCATACGCCCAGAAGTTGAGAATTTATGCACTGCGTAACGAGCAAGAAATGTCACTGGAACTAGTCTTAGAGTCTGGCACGCGTGCGTGATTTTGCAGCCAAACGTCATGCAGGAAGAGAAGACAAGAAAAGACTCTGTGCACTCTGGGGCCCTGGGCGCTGACAGCTGGACCTCGCCTAAGCGATGCGACGCTCTGATTTGGTGGCTGAGGGCCGTAGCAGAGCTTACTGTTAGTTTGGAAGCTGGTGAAAGTTACAAGAAAAACTTTCCTCTTCAAACTCCATAGGCGTTATTTTATCTCTCCGTCCTGGATCCAGATAAGATACGCTGCCGCCCCGGCTAGCCTACTTGGTTGTGTTGTTTTCCTGGAGGGGGCTGCTGCGCGCGACGTGATGTTGTCGCGCTGGTTTGTTGCTCTGCGCAGCTAGGCTCTATGTTGTCCTCAGACAAAGTCAACCTCTCCTGCTGGGTGTCCTGCCAAAAAGTGGTCCTACGGTCAACTCAGACGAGACAACATCAAAAGCCTAGCTCCGGGGCTGTTAGGCCCTGATTAGAGTTGCGTTCCGAGCGGGAAGGGCAGGCCAAGTGAACTATGCAGGATTATCAGGAAATCCTGATTCCTGCTGTACAATGATCCTTGGCAGGGCCCGCCTGCTCGAAAACATTGTATGAACGTGAAGGACTATCTAAATCAAGCGCCTTATGCATAGGATGCCCGCCCGTTTAGGCTGACCCATGTATCAGGTCAAATGTAGAAACCACCCAAACACACCGAAACTGCTGCAGGGTTTCTAGAGATTGAAGGAGTGCCAACAAGCATGTGCACGACTAACCAACCCAACTCGGCCAAAACATGTTTCTGTTGATTATTGTTTGCCGGCATTCGGCTTTAATTTAAAATCGCAATCTTCGCCACAGCATGGTCGGTAACTACGTGTGAGCGCACACGCATTCTTCAACAAATCTACACATGCAGTTGGTGGCTTTTTGCTTCGCCTAAGAGAGTAGGGGCTGTAAGGGGCGCAGGTGAGCTGTGATGTGTGTTGAGAAATCTTCCTATGCACCACGAAGTTGGCAGACGCAGCGATTTGTGTTTATACATGTGCCGTTCATACATATACACACACACACATATATATATATACCACAGCTTTATAGAGATACCTACCTTCAAACTGAGTAACTGTGTTCTTGCCACTCAGCATTGTTGCCGCCTTGAGCTTCCGAAGGACTTGATGTCAAGTGTGCTGAGTCAGCCGAAGTGCTAGCATATTCCATGACAAGCCTTTTTTGCGCGCAAACAAATTCCAAGTGTGCCTGTGTGCGCCTTATTCCAATTATATACAAATGTGTATGTATACATGTACTATTTATTCTACAAGCTGCCCCGCAGCTCGTTATACGTGAGTTCAACGTGACTTTGCTGATGCTCCCAGGGTTTGGTCAGCACAGAATCCGTTCCCAGCTTAGGTCTCACAGCTGCAGCAGGACCAGCGCACCTTCAATGCGCCAATGGTCAAAGGACGGTGATGGGAAAGACGGAAGGGCAAGCATCGCGCACATGGAAGAAAGGCTGACTCATGAACCAATCCTCTATCGGGCCTGGTCCACAGGCTGATTCCTGCTCCATATTGCCAGCGTTGTTCGGGAAGGGTTCAAAAAAATAGTGACTCACAGTGACTCACCACAGGGGTGTCCTAATCCCACCTTTCCGGCCACTTCTCCCCGTGGTACGCTAGTGGCTAGCAGTGCTCTTGCTACAGCGTGCCCAAAAGAGCGAAAATCAATACTCAAAAGGCCTTCTGAGAGGATTCCCTCATTGACGCTGGGGTTCAGAACCTGGAAGCATTCTACGGGGAAATGTAGCCGGAAAGGTGCGCAGGAGCTGAGGGCCTTTGTGTGCAGATTGGGACGAAGGGCTCCTAAAACAACCCCCCTCCCCTGAGAAAGAAGTTCTGGTCGCGCTTAACTGTCGCAAGATTACCTGAGAGCAAAGCGGGCTGACCTTTGTTTCTCGTTTCCCAGGTGCCTATCTTGAAACAGGTGTGACGCCGAAGCAGGGTTTGCTTTATGATGATAAATCTCTTCGGCCCTGGCGGCTTCCAGCAACAAATTCTTATGGCCTACAATGCCCAGAAACCAAAAAGCACATAGCGAATTAGGCGTGTGCCCTCAAGCCGCGGCCGAAGGAAAGGATAGGGCGTAGCAAATAATCAGAGAGCTTGTGTAGACACGCCTGCTTAAAGGCGCGCCATATATCGCAGGTAAGGTTTAGGAGCTCTGCGTCCTAACTTTTCGTAGTCGCACCTTTCCAGCCACATCTCCCCGTAGCATGGCTAGTAGGGCTGTTGCTACAGCGTACCCAAAGAGCGAAAGTCAAAAATCAAAAGGGTCGGGGCCTTCCGAGAGGATTCTCTCGCTAACGCTGGCGTTCAGAACATGGAAGCCGGGGAAATGTAGCCGTAAAGGTGCGAAGGAAGGCCCTGTGACAACCTCCTGCCAGTGCAGGTTAGGATGAAGGGCTCCTAAAACAACCCCCCCTCCCCTGAGAAAGAAGTTCTGGTCGCGCTTACCTGTCGCAAGATTACCTGAGAGCAAAGCGGGCTGACCTTTGTTTCTCGTTTCCCAGGTGCCTATCTTGAAACAGGTGTGACGCCGAAGCAGGGTTTGCTTTATGATGATAAATCTCTTCGGCCCTGGCGGCTTCCAGCAGCAAAATCTTATGGCCGACGATGCCCAGAAACCAAAAAGCACATAGCGAATTAGGCGAGTCCTCACAAGCCGCGGCCGAAGGAAAGGATAGGGCGTAACAAATAATCAGAGAGCTTGTGTAGACAGGCCTGCTTAAAGGCGCGCCATATATATCGCAGTAAAAGTTGACCAAGAGGGCGCTGCGCGGTTAGGATTCCAAACGCGGGCGCTGGCACCAAGGACCAGCGCTTTCTGTTTCCACGTCATTTGTCTTTCCTGTGCCGCTCTCGGAGCCGAGGGTCCTGTTGGGAGGGCGCTTTGCGAATTCAAAATCAATTTTGAATCCGGAAGGCAGGGGTCCTAGCTCGAAAGCCAACTGCATGTGTGCACACACAACCCTCTCACGAGTCAAAAGCCCTACCTTCCGAATTCAAAATCGATTTTGAATTCGTAAGGCGCCCTCCCAACAGGACCCTAGGCTTGGAAACCTAAACCGAAAGGGTTAGGAGGTGTTGCTTGCATTTTTAGACTTGTTAGGTTGAGGGCGTGCGCTAGCTGTTGTTTGGCAATCTTTAGCTTCGAAGTCCTGTGTAGCTTTAGTTGTTGTCTTGCAATGATTCATGTCTTGGTTTGCGGGGGAACTGTTTTTGGGTTTCTGATTTTTGCCGTTCGCTTCCCTAATAACCAGGGTAGCTTATTAGGGGCCAAAACTGTTCTATCCCCTTTTCTGACTAATTTCTCGAACCAAAATAACCTAAACAGCTCGGCTCTATTACCCAACCCTGACCTACTAGTAACCTAACCTTATTAAGACAAGACATAGCCTTTTTGAGGGCGTTTTCAAAAACTGATACAACATTTGGATGTTGCTTTAAATTTAGGAGATAACTTTTGGAAATGACATGTTTGGGGTGTGTGATCGAACATTGTTAAGCTGGTCATGGCAGTCAATTTAAGCCCCAGAAGAACCTGCTTTGAAGAAATAACTCAAAGCACATACCAGCGCAGTATTTAAGCTAAGAAAGCCGCTTTAATGTCTCACCAAAACATGGTTCAGAAATAACGCGCAAACACCGCTCAGTTGTTTTGGGATGCACAAACATGTGCCGGGAAAGCTTGAGACATTAGGCCTTGCATTTTTTTGGGGGGCAAATGTTTTGCAACACCTGTCAACTTGCAATTTTGCAACATGAGTTTTTTCAAAGACATGTTTTGGGTGGAGACTTGGGGCTGTAATAGTTTGTACTGGAGACTTGAGGCCTGGCAAATTAGGGGCCTGAGTTTTGAAGAGCGCATATCGTCCTGCTTGGTATTTTTCAGCAGGAATTTTGGAAACCAAACATTTTTCCTAGATACTTCAGGCCTCGCAATTTTTTGAGCGAGAGTTTTGGAGAGCAAAGATTTGTGCTGGGCACTTGGGGCCTGCCAATTTTGAAGCAGGAGTTTCGGAAAAGAGGTTTTGGGCTCAAACTTGAAACTTGCCAGTTTGAGAGCATCAGATTCGGACAGCGGAGATTTGTGCTGGACTCTTGGGGCCTGCCAATCGGGGTGCACGAGTTTATGAAAACAAAAAATTTAGGGTCTAACTTGAGGCCTGCCAAATTTGGGAGCAGGGGTTTTGGAAGGCAACTTTTTGTGGGATTCGGAGGCAGTGCTGTTGGAAGGCAATCATTTGTGCTGGAGACTTGAGGCCCGGCAGTTTTTGGAGCATCAGTCTTGGAAGGCAAGCGCTTGTGTTGGAGACTTGAGGCCTCGCAAATTCAGCGCATGCGTTTTGGGCAGCGAATGTGTGTGTGTGTGTGTTGGAATCGCGGGGCTTGGCAATTTTGGGAGCAGGAGTTATGGAAGGCAACCATGTTTTGGTGGCGGCAAGAGACCTTTGGAAGGCAAATCATTTTGGTGGACATATGGGGCCTGGCAGTTGGAGGCAGAGGTTATGGATTTGTGCTGGGGGCTTGAGGCCTAGCATTTTGGGGCAGGATTTTTGGAAACCAAAGTCTTTGTGCTGGAGATTTGGGGCTAGGTAATTTGCAGGCAGGGTTTTTTGGAAAGTAAGGACACTACAGGAGTTGTTCACAGCACTTACTTTACGTAGAGACTTGGGGCCTGCCAATTTGGAAGCAGAGGCTTTCCAGCTAGACTTTGAACTGGAGACTTTGAGCTTGGACATTATGGGGACAGGAGGTTTGGAAAGCAAAGATGCGCGCTAGAGACTTGGGGCTTAGCAACTTTTTTTAGCGGGAGTCTTTCAACACGCATATTTTGGGCAGAGGCTTGGGGCCTGCCAGTTTGGGAACAGAGGGTGTGAAAATTGGAGACTCGGGGCTTGGCAATTTGGGAGCATGAGTTTTGGACAACAAAGATTTGCGCTGGATACTTGGGGCCTACCGAATACGTGGCGCTTTTTTTCAAGCACAGATTTTGGGTGGAGACTTGAGGCTTGCCAATTTGGGACCAAAGGTTTTTGAAAGCAGCGGTTTGTGCTGGAGACTTGGGGCCTGGCAATTTCGGGCGCAGAAGTTTTGGGAAATTTGAGGCCTGGCAATTTTTGGGGAGTGAGTTTTTGGCTGCGAAGATTTATGTTGGGCAATTTGGGGCCTGCCAATTTTGGCGCAATAGCTTTTGAAAGCGGGCTGCGCTGGTAGCGCTTGAGGGCTGGCTGCGCGAGCTAAAGAGCACTGGTCACCCCTTAGATCAAAGGGTAGACACAAACAAAAAGAAGCCTCAAACTGCATTGTTGTAACTTTGCCTGGTTCGTGTCTCGGTTAGGCAGAGTTTGCACCCGCCTTGCAGATGCCCCCCTCCCACATCCTAAAGGTTCCATTTGTTGTTGTGTTTTTTGTTCTTCTTCTTTCTTTCTTTTTTCTGGCGGAGGGGGGACCGCTTTCGTTGTTTTTTCAACTTCAAAGGAAACCCGCCCTTTTAAAAGTCCCCTAGTCAGAAGCAAACTCGAGTTAGTTCTGAGGCGGGTAAAGCCACCCATGCCCTTGGAGGACATTGGCGCCTAGCTCCGCATCTCGTGTCGCGCATGGCCAGGGAAGCGCTGAGACTCAGGCTAAAAGTTTCTGACCTCCCAAAAGTTCGCAGTGTCAGTGGCAGAAACCGTGCAACTATTGAAACTCAATTTTTAGTCATGTCCCCAAAAGGTGAACCTTGTATTTGTGTGTCCTTTGGGCAACATTTGAAAGGGAAATGCAGTCATCCGCGGTTTGTCGGCCTCCACGACGCTTCGGGGGGGGGTGCAAGATGAACTGCACTTGCCGTCGCTCGTATCACTTTGGCCTAGTATGAGCTTGTCTCGAAAGAGGCGACCCCTCCAAAATGGACGGGCTTCCTCTTGGCTCCCTTTGAAGCAACCCTGAAGGCTCCAAAAGCCGGAGACGTGGACTTGGGCATTGGCCCAGCCAAGGACGCCCGACCTGGTGAGCCACAGTAGGTGCTTGGCAGCTCCATGGTGCTTGTCCTTCCACCACTTGGGCAGACTGGGAAGGCGCGTGCCGTGGCTGCCAAAAGGTGTCGCAAAGTCGAAAGGTAGGCCAGTTGGATCATGTGTTTAGTTATTGTTTATGGTTCTGTTCATTGTGTGTGTGTTTCTAGGTTTTTTGTTGGGTCCCGTTCATGTTTCGATGTTTTGGGTGTTTAGTTGTTTTGGTTCTGTTCATTTTTAGATGGTTTGTGGCTATTTGTTGGTTCTATTCCTTTTTAGATGTTGTTAGGTTGGTGGATTGATTTTGTGTTGAATTGTTTTGAAGGATGCTTGGTTGGATTATCTGTTCATGTTTAGATGGTTTAGTTTGATTTTGTGTTTGGTTCTGGTCATGTTTAGATGTGTGGGTTTCTTGCATTTTGTGGTCTGATCATGTTTAGATGTTTTTGTTCAGGTTTTTTGTTTTGGTTTCTCTGTTCAGTTTTGGATGTTTTAGTTTGTTTTGTTCTTTGGTTCCGGGCATTTTTAGATGTTTTTTTTGGCTCTGTTCATTTCTCTGGTAGGAGGCTGCAAGAGACCACGTCTGTTGCTACCATACCAACGATTGCGGAAGGAGGGCCTGGTTTGGCGCCTGAGAAAGTTCCTGGCCTGCTATGCCAACTCGTCCCGCACAAAAGCCTTTTCTTGGTGGCTCCCAGCCATCCGGTTCCTTAGCTTTTTAGCCCAGCGTTTAGTGGGGTTTTCCATTTGACCCACAAGTTATTCACTTTAGGCGGGGAATCTGAAAACGGGCAGCCCAGTTCTGTGTTGCTTCTGAGAGCGGATTAAAAATGCTTAGGGCTTGCTTCACTGGGATAGGGTCGTACTTACGCTGGAGTTATAAGTGACTTAGCACTTAGCTTGGACTTATAAGTAACTTATCTTGAACTTAGAAAAGAGGTTTTCTAAGTCCGCTAAGTTCATTCTAAGTTCATTGAGTTTGCAAACACATGCGTTTTGAAGCATGGCAGTGATGAAGCATGACGCGCTGGAAATCACACATTTTCGTGTGACTCAACGCAGCAGGGCAGGCGCGCGCGCATGCAGTTTACGCTGTTTGTTCGCGCTGCTTCGCACGCTTGGCTCGATGGAGCCGGAGCATTTTTTGCACTGATTGACTCGGGTTAATTTTGTTGTGCGATAATCGTTTCTATATAGTGTCTCCGCTGGCGGCCGGTCCGCCTTCATATAGTCGCATGGGGTGGTTTCTCCGCCGGCGGCCGGTCCGCCCATTTTGCTTTTCTCGTTTGATGATATATAATTGTAGCGGTGGTTCCGCTGGCGGCCGGTCCGCCAAGCTTTTTTTGCCACGTTCATTTTCATTTCGAGATGGCACTTGAAGCGGTTGTCCGCTGGCGGCTGGTCCGCCCAGGAATTGTTCGGCGTGATTTTTATTTCGAGATGGCACTTGAAGCGGTGGTCTGATGGCACCTTTCGATTTTTTGCATGTTTGGATTGTGAGTGCGCGGATGAAAGGCTGCAAGACTCAATCAAGGCTCCAGAATCCAGACTGCTGACTGCAAACTCCACACTCCAGACTGCAGACTCCAGACTGCAGACTCCAGACTGCAGACTCCACACTGCAGACTCCAGACTGCAAACTCCAGACTCCAGACTGCAGACTCCAGACTGCAGACTCCAGGCTGCAGACTCCAGACTGCAGACTCCAGACTGCAGACTCCATACTGCAGACTCCGGACTGCGAACTCCAAACTCCAGACTGCAGACTCCAGACTGCAGACTTCAGACTGCAAACTCCAGACTCCAGACTGCAGACTCCAGACTGCAAACTCCAGGCTCCAGAGTGCAAACTCCAGACTCCAAACTGCAGACTCCAGACTGCAGACTCCAGACTGCAGACTGCAGACTCCAGAGTGCAGACTCCAGACTGCAAACTCCAGACTCCCGATGCAGACTCCAGACTCCAGACTGCCAACTCCAGAATCAAGACTGCAGACTCCAGGCTCCAGAATGCAAACTCCACAGACAGACTGCAGACTCCAGACTCCAGACTGCAGACTCCTGACTCCAGAATCCAGACTCCTGACTCCAGAATTCACAGCCCAGACCCCAGAATCCAGCATCCAGACAGCCCCGCCCCAAAGCCCGGAAAGGCCGGTGCAGTTTTTTCGAACTTAACAAAACTTAACTTAACTTAACCTGGGCGGGTCGTGTGGAGCCGTGGAGTCCCTATTGTAACTCAATCAACTTAACTGCCAAACTTTCCCCGTGAGGCCCAGTTGCGTCACCACGACTTAACATAACTTAACTTGGCCCCGTGGCCGAATTCCACCACAAAATGATCAGGAGCCAGGAGTCATTGTGTCTGGAATCTGGAATTTCTGGAGTTGGCAGTCTGGACTCTGCAGTCTGGAGTCTGCAGTCTGGAGTCTGCAGTCTGGAGTTTGCAGTCTGGAGTCTGGAGTTTGCAGTCTGGAGTCTGCAGTTTGGAGTCTGCAGTCTGGAGTCTGCAGTCTGGAGTGTGGAGTTTGCAGTCAGCAGTCTGGATTCTGGAGCCTTGATTGAGTCTTGCAGCCTTTCACCCGCGCACTCACAATCCAAACATGCAAAAAATCGCAAGGTGCCATCAGACCACCGCTTCAAGTGCCATCTCGAAATAAAAATCACGCCGAACAATTCCTGGGCGGACCAGCCGCCAGCGGACAACCGCTTCAAGTGCCATCTCGAAATGAAAATGAACGTGGCAAAAAAAGCTTGGCGGACCGGCCGCCAGCGGAACCACCGCTACAATGATATATCATCAAACGAGAAAAGCAAAATGGGCGGACCGGCCGCCGGCGGAGAAACCACCCCATGCGACTATATGAAGGCGGACCGGCCGCCAGCGGAGACACCGCTATAGAAACGATTATTGGACAACAAAATTAAACCGAGTCAATCAGTGCAAAAAATGCTCCGGCTCCATCGAGCCAAGCGTGCGAAGCAGCGCGAACAAACAGCGTAAACTGCATGCGCGATGGCTCACTGCGCGGTCCTGCCGCGATGGCTCACTGCGCGGTCCTGCCGCGATGGTCGCTGCGCGGTCCTGCCGCGATGGTCGTTGCGCGGTCCTGCCGCGATGGTCGCTGCGCGGTCCTGCCGCGATGGTCGCGCGCGGTCCTGCCGCGATGGTCGCTGCGCGGTCCTGCCGCGATGGCTCGCTGCGCGGTCCTGCCGCGATGGCTCACTGCGCGGTCCTGCCGCGATGGTCGCTGCGCGGTCCTGCCGCGATGTGTTTTCCAAACATGGAAGCGGCCCCGCCGCCGCTACGCCGTGTTCTGCCCTGCGCGGTCTAGCCGGGAGCGACCGTACGTCTCGAAACATGATTCGCGCGCGCGTAGTCCGGTGTCAGGCTTTCTCTCTCGTTCAGCGATGTGGTCCGCAACATGTCACGGGTAGCGCACGCGTGCTTTTTCGCACGCAGGCAGACACGTAGACTCAGCGAGGTAGACGCGTTTGGGACATTGCTTCGCAAGCGCTGAATGACCGAAGGCTGTTTTCCTCAAATGGTGCTAAAAAGCTAAGTCCCAGCTAAGTTCATTCTAAGTCCTGGCACCCGGAACTTAGCTCGAACTTATAAGTGGGCCTATCTAAGTTAAACATAGACAAGTAACTTATAACTATCCTCGGACTTAGCAAACTTATAAGTCCACTTGTCCCACGTTATAAGTCCACTTGTAGTAACTTATAACTCAAGTTATAAGTACGACCCTATCCCAGCAAGATGTCCCGGTGGAAAAGGGTGAGATTGAACACCCGAAGGTTCGGGACCAAGAACGCATGATTCCTGGCACGTTTTGGTCCTTAGGGAGACGTGTGTCATTGTGGGGAACGGATCGCATTCAGCCTCTCAGCACATGTGAAGGGAGCTTTCTTCTGGCCAGCGGCATGTCTTCCCTGAGCCGCATGTTTTCAGGTTGCATTGCGGTTTTTTGAGTCGCAGCGAGGCCGGATGTGGTGTGCTGGGGTGCGGCGACTGCCGCAGCGCAGTGGGTGCAAGCGCTGAGAGTGTTGGCCCGAATGGCCAGCCTTGCGGTGTGGCGCGGCGGCAGCGGGCTGGGTGAGTGGTCAACACTTGCGCCCTTCAAACTCCGGTGCCGCTTGGGTGCCTAATTTTCGGGTGACAACCTTCCAAGTGACGTGAAATGATATCCGGAGGCCCAGGTTCTGGACCGGTGAAGAATCAGATGGGTTGGCCCTGCCAATTTGCGTGGGAAATTCGGTTCCACACCAAAAAAAACTTAAGGGTGAGGCAGCTTGATGCGCCTGCTGAAAGGGGTTTGGGGTCATCTAAGCAGGAATGAGTCTTGGCCGCCAAGAGGAAAGGGCTTGAACTGGTTTTTTGGGAATATTAACTATGAAACCGCCTCTTCTGTACGAGCAAAATGCGTTGTTCTGGAGCCCAAATTCTGTTCGCATTTTGGCTAGATTGGGCTTGCAATTGCGAGTTTTCACAAAGAAAGCAGTGACCTGCAACAAATTCTGCATGGGCACATTTTTGGGGGTTTTGGCCACACACCGTCACACACTCTAGAATACAGAGCAGAACGTTTTTTTCTTAGTAGGCATTTCTCAGTGGCCGTGAGCCAACTCCGAACAAGCTCCGAACAAACTCCGAACGAACTCCGAACAAACTCCGAGCAAACTCCGGACAATCTCCGAACGAACTCCGGGCGAACTCGGAACAAACTCCGAACAAGCGAACAAGCTCCGAGCGAACTTTGGCATTTGTTGATTTCCGAACAAACCCCCGAGCCAACTCCGAACACACTTTGGTCAAACTGCTTTTTTTCGAGCTTACCAAAAGAGGTAAAGTGATTACAGGGGCCAGTTTCAACAAGTGGCCTGGGAAGGCGTTTTTGGAGGCAAACAAACATGTTCTCAGGCCACGTGTTGAAATTAGTTCTTTTGGTCACTTGATTTTCCTGTTATGCATTTTCCGGGCTGGATTTACTTCCCGGACAAGCGCCAAACAATTTTTGGCCATATTTTTCTTTGGGGGGCTGATTTTTGTGTTTTGGCCTTAAGTTTTAGTTTTTCGGCTTTGTTTTGTCTTTTTGCTCGTGTTTTTTTTCCAGGCTGTGATTTGTGCTTGATATTTTTTTCGGGGCTTAATTCTTGCCCCGAACGAACTCCGAACGAACTCCGAACGAACTTTGGCCTTAAGTTTGTTTTTGGAGCTTATTTGTTTTTTGGTGTTGAACTTTTCGGGATTTGGTCTGGGGAGCTGTTTTATTTTGTTTTTGCCTTAAGTTTTTGTTTTTCAGCTTTGTTTTGTTTTTGTTTGCTTGTTTTTGCTTTCAGGCTATGATTTGTGCTTAGTTTTTTTTTGGGGGGGGCGGGGGGCATAATTCTTGCCCCGAACGAACTCCGAACGAACTCCGAACGAACTTTGGCCTTAAGTTTTTTTTTGGCCTTAAGTTTTTTTTTGGTGTTGAACTTTTCGGGTTTTGGTCGTACAAAAACACTGGAATTACAGCTTGTTCACGCGTTTTGTCTACAAATTCAGTGTTACCAAGGTAAAAAAAACCTTGAAAAATGCTTAATCCAGGTTGTTCAGGCAAAAAAACAGCTATTTCATACGACCAAAATCGGGCAAAACCTTAAGTTCAACACCGGTGTTGAACTTAAGCTTTTTGTTTTTGGAATAAGGTTTTTTTTCCGGATTAAGCCTTGGTCAAGCAGATTAAACTTTGTTTCAGCTTCAACAGCGAGCCTCAGCGCCAACAAGCTTTTTTTTTTGGAATAAGGTTTTTTTTCGGATTAAGCCTTGGTCAAGCAGATTAAACTTTGTTTCAGCTTCAACAGCGAGCCTCAGCGCCAACCAAGCTGCGAGATCACCCCGGTAGCGATTTTAGCCCTCCGCAGCTCTCAAGTCCTACAAATCCAGCCCTGAACGCCTTCCCAGGCCACTTGTTGAAACTGGCCCCTGTAATCACTTGGCAACTTTTGGTAATCCCGAAAAAAAGCCAAAAAACAGTTTAAACCACCAAAATACTTTTGCTCAAACACGTACTTATGGCCAAAGTGTGTTCGGAGTTGGCTCGGGGGTTTGTTCGGAAATCAACCAATGACAAAGTTCGCTCGGAGCTTGTTCGCTTGTTCGGAGTTTGTTCCGAGCTCGCCCGGAGTTCGTTCGGAGTTCGTTCGGAGTTTGTCCGGAGTTTGCTCGGAGTTTGTTCGGAGTTCGTTCGGAGTTCGTTCGGAGTTCGGAGTTCGTTCGGAGTTTGTTCGGAGTTGGTTCGCGGGGGACCTGGGGCCTCTGAGAAACGCCTACCAAGAAAAACAGTTCTGCTCCGTTTTATGTAGTGTGTGGCCAAAACCCAAACAATGTGTCCATGCAGGATTTGTTGCAGGTCACTGCTTTCTTTGTGAACACTTGCAATTGCAAGCCCAATCTAGCCAAAATGCGAGCAGAATTTGGGCTCAAGAACAACGCATTTTGCTCGTACAGAAGAGGCGGTTTCATAGTTAAGTTATTCCCCAAAAGCAGTTCAAGCCCTTTCCTCTTGGCGGCCAAGACTCATTTCTGTTTAGATGACCCCAAACCCCTTTCAGCAGGCGCGTCAAGCTGTCTTACCCCTAAGGCTTAGCGCGCAGAAACGGCGGGGTCCGCTGGGAAACAAGCAAATTGATTCTTGTTTCGAGGAAACTGGCATCAATAGTACACTTTGAGGTTTGCTGCAAAATCCCTGTTTTTGTTTTTTTGGTTTTGTCAAACCCTTAAGTTTGAGTAAAAAACCATTATTCGTTTTTAGGACCTTAAAACACATAAATCCCGAACGAACTGACCTGACCCATGAAATTTGGCAGTTGGCCCTCGTTTTTTGTCCACGAAAGTATGCCAAGAGCTCTTGACAAGGTAAGTTGGCGCATGGTGAAAGCTTGTGCAGAGCAGCCCCTGAGCAATTTTAGGTTGGGCCTGGCACGTATGGTCCTCCATGTGAAACGCACCGTCTATCAAGATGTTGGCTATGATGCATATCATCATGGCCTCCCCACTACCTCCTTTTGAATAGAGTTTTCAGGAATTTGAAGGCAAGCACATATGGCAAGTGAGGCTCCACCCTTTGGTTGCAAACGTGGCCCGCAACGCTCAAGTCTAACATTTGAAGGTGTCACAGTGACATGTTCAAGAAGTGTTGCAATGTTTATGCAGATACATCAATCATCAAAAGCCGGGTTGGTAATTTGTTGCATGGGCGCTAGTTGAGTAAGTCGCTCATCGAGGCTGTCAGAGGCCAAACGTTGTGCTGACTTAATGTTTCCTTGGTGGCTCCCAGCCATCAAGTTCCTTAGCTTTTTAGCCTTTTAGTATTTAGTGGCAGTTTCCATTTAACCCACAAGTTATTCACTTTGAGCGGGGGATCTGAAAACGGGCAGCCCAGTTTCTGGAATTGCAATGGGAGGCATTGGTCGCAACTTGCCTTCAGCTCCAAGTGACGATCTGGCAACACCGTTGGGATCGACACACGGGCGGCTATTTGCTGCAGAACGAGTCACGGAACCCCCCCCCCCCCCCAAATCATCACTGGCTGGGTGTGAGAAGCGCATAGAATGCGGAAATGTGAACATTGGAGTGATGTTGATCAACAGGGGGGTGTCCAATTCCTTTTAGTGGTTGGATTCAGGCCGCTTTGGGAGGGATTCCTCCGAGGCGGCCGGACATGGCGAGCTTCGGTGCCGCCGCGCAGGCGGCGTGGCGCTGGGCCACGGCGCTCTTGGAAGATCTGAGGCCGGGGCCGACGGGGGGGATACGGACCCCACTCTTGTGGAAATGGCGGGGGGGGGGGGGGGGCGAGTGCGGATTTCTGGGTGGGAAAAGGTTCACCCCCCTTTTAGTGGGTTCTGTGACTTGGGGAATCGCGCAAGGTAGCCCTCTTTCGGGGAATGGTTCTGGAAAGGAAGCACAGGTGAGCGCCGTACATGGGACAGTCTCTTTGGGAGATGCGCAATGGACGTGGTTGGGCGTCTGATAGCGACCACACCGCGCGGGCGGGTGGTATTCTCCCTTACCCTCAAAGAGGCAGTTGCGCGATCGTAAGGACATGTAAGAACCGTGTCAGTTGGATACAAGTCCAAGTGGACGCATGCCAAAGCTGGGGAAATCCAACTTTAGAGCCTCCGGCTCACTCCAGCGACATTGCCCTCTCCCTTTTCTCCTTTTCCTCTCTTCGTTCACGTCTTCCCCTCCCTCTCCCTCTCTCTTGCTCTCTCCTCCCCATCCTGTCTTTGCCTCTTCTCTCTCTCTCTCGCTCTCTCTCTCTCTCTCTCTCTCTCTCTCTCTCTCTCTCTCTCTCTCTCGCTCTCTCTCTCTCTCTCTCTCTTTCTCTGTCTCTCTCTCTCCCTCCTCTTTCTGCCTCTCTCTGTCTCCTCCCCATCCTCTCTTTGCCCCTCTCTCTCTCTCTCTCTCTGCCTCTCTCTGTCTCTCTCCCCCACTCTCTCTCTCCTCTCTCCCTCTCTCCCTCTCTCCCTCTCTCCCTCTCTCCCTCTCTCCCTCTCTCCCTCTCTCCCTCTCTCCCTCTCTCCCTCTCTCCCTCTCTCCCTCTCTCCCTCTCTCCCTCCCCCTCCTCTCTCCCCCTCCTCTCTCTCCCCCTCTCCCCGTCCTCTCTCCCCCTCCTCTCTCTCCCCCTCTCCCCATCCTCTCTCCCCCTCCTCTCTCTCCCCCTGCTCCCCGTCCTGTCCTCCTTCCTCTCTCGCCCCGTCCTCTATTTCTCTCTCTCTCTCTCTCTCTCTCTCTCTCTCTCTCTCTCTCTCTCTCTCTCTCTCTCTCTCTCTCTCTCTCTCTCTCTCTCTCTCTCTCTCTCTCTCTCTCTCTCTCTCTCTCTCTCTCTCTCTCTCTCTCTCTCTCTCTCTCTCTCCGCTCTCCTCTCTCCTCTCTTCTCTCTCCTCTCTCCGCTCTCCTTTCTCCTACGCTGCGGTTGGGCAGGGGTATGACGAAGTTCGTGCTTCCTGTTGGCTTGTTGGCTGTCTCTACCACAGAGATGTCGCTTGGAGATTTTCGAGCTGTCCCATGCCTATTTGCAACACTGTGCTAGGTTTAGTCACGGAGCACTCATTAAGCCATAAACTGGCATAAACTGGCGAAATGCATGTCAATCACGCAAGGCCTGTAGTGCGTTGATGCGTTGTTCCTTTTTGGATCGTGCGGCTGGCATACTGGGCCCCAATCATGGCAAACTCACTCGGAGTGTGACTGAAAAGTCATAGTCCTCCTCCTGGGTGGCACAACGGATCAGGCTCCATGGAACGTGCTGATGTTCAGCACGAGTCTTCCTGTGCAAAGCGCCATGGTAGCCCCAACTTGGCCGTAACTTCTCTGACCAAGGTCTGCTGGACGGTCTGGTCAGCAGCGCATGTTGGCTACCCGGTTTTGATTCGGTCTGTTGGCAAACGCTAGCACTTGAGGGAACTACCCCACACACGCCAGCGCGTTTTTTTCCACTTGGACCCCGAATGACTGTCAAGCAAAATTGAAAACTTGCACTTTCCTTGGTGGCTCCCAGCCATCCCCTTAAGTTCAACTTTTAGCGTGGGATCTGAGGGCAGCCCACTTTCCGCAGCGCAGGTGGCAGTCCCTTCGTGCGGACCGGGCGTTCTTTCGGGGGCTCTTCCCTGACAGCGGGTGGCACCGGTCGCTGGCGCTGCTGGGCCATGCGGAGGCTCGCTCTGCCAGTGCTGATTTTTTGTAAGTTTCTGTGCGGGCGCATCCCCACCCCCGCAAAAATGGAATTGGGGAGGGGGGTGACCCCTGGAGATCTCCATTTGTGGTTCCATTTTCCCTTTTATGGGGACTAGATAAATGGAATTGGGGACCCCCCACCCCCCTTCCCCTTAAGGTCGGGGTGATATGGGCGCTCTAGTTCCTTTTTGGTCCTGACCCAGGCTGGCTGACTGGTGTCGACAAAGATGGCTCTGGTATGACTGGAAAGCGCGAAAAGCTACCGGATAGATGTTTCAATTAGTGATTGGCAGGGTTGTGCTCCTTCAATAACTACGAAGCCCATAGATTGCAAGCCAACCTGCAACCCAAAAAAATCCACAGTGTGGAAAAGCGACCTTGGCCCCTGTCCAACTGAGTGAACCTCATTTCAGGGACAAGTATTTGTGCGGCCTGGTTCAACGCGAGCTTGGAAGTTCCGAGTGCGAAGAGTGAAGTTTGCGGGCCGCAGGAACCGAGGCGGTTTCGTGGAGATGGAAGCTGGCACGGAGTCCGGAAAAGGGTGGTGGGCATTCAATGAACTTGTTTTCACTTTGCCATCCATAACAAAACCAGCTGCCGTTTTGCCCAACTCCCGTGCCATGAGTCGGAAGGCTTCCCTTGACTGTTGGGTTGGATCTTCAGACTTTACTGTAACTTTTTGGGAAATAGAGGTGTCTTCCACTAAACCCCCCGAAAAAAAGTTATATTTTTTGGCCGGGGGTTCAACAGCAACCAAGTTCCGCCAGATTTGCACAGAGCCTCTCGGCCTCTCGCTTCAGGCCGCTGGTCTTCCGTCAGATGCCGCGATGCTGAGCAGCTGCATGCGGACCTGTGGCGAGGGCGGGTGGCCGGTAGCTTTGCACTTGGCATGGCATCTAAGCTGAAGGTGATTCTGCCAAGGCCGCATATGTAGTTGTAGTTTGCAACGTGATGTATTTATCAACCATGTAAAACCCCAATGCATGAATGTCTCACTTGTGCAGTCTCATCATTACGACTGCATATGGCTCAAGAAAAAGCGCGCTGAGTACAGGGTTCAATTGTGACCCTTCCCGGTTGTTTAACCTGTTCTATAGGTTATCAGCCGTAAGCGGCTCTTTGTACAGAGTTGTACGCCATGGATGGCGACCCTGGACTACCCCATACCGAGGTGCGTCCCACACCTGATGAGCCCGCAGGCGATGAAGACGCCTCGCAATATGAACCGACTAGTCGAGCAAACTCCCAAGTGGCCAGGGAGCTCATCAGGAAGGGACAAGCACTGAGCAGTCAGGGCCCCGAATCACTTCGATCCCGGAGTCACCGTGAGAGGACTGGGCGGTCTGGTGCTCGATCTCCTTCACCCGTTGGATCAGATCGGCATCGGCATGGTGACATCGTCATGTACGACCCCCAGACCGATCTCGCAAGGGGAAACCCTATGCCACAGTCCATATCAGTTCAACCAACATGTTGCAAACGTCCACCTCGATCCTTCGATGACGATCAACCAGGACGTGACGAACTATCAGCAGATCAACGCTACCCAGAACAATGCCCAATTCAACCAGTTCGTGAATCAGGACACCGGTCCCATGGTCGCCCAGATGGCGGAGGCAAGGCATGGTGAGATCATTGCCGGTCTCCAAAGCCAGTCGGAGGCCATGAGACGCGAGATTCAGATGAATGCTGAGCAGCGTGTGACACCATGAAGTCAGAAAGAGAAGCCGAGATGAAGTACCAAAACGCCATCAATACGATCAGCGAGCAGGAGAGACAGATCAGAGAGCTAAGGGCTATGGTCGAGCAGATGATGCAGAATCAACAGCAACCGCCTGCTCAACCCGCTCCTGCCCCTGCGCCTCCTGTTCAGCAGGCACCAGCTACCCCCTTGGCTATCCCGACAGTTCCTTTGGCTGCATCTCCACCCGGACTTTCGAATGCTTCCTCGCACAGTTGGACGAAAGTCGGGAGCGACCCCTACGGCAAAGACGGATCCGTTCCCGCCGGGGCCGTGGACGATGCTGCTACCGGAGACGGTTGGCCTTGCGATGATGGTGATGGTGGAAATGACAAGGACAAGAAAAAGAAGAAGAAGAAGAAAAAGAAGAAGGACCGTAGCCGACGCCGGCGACGAGATCCGTCATCTTCTCCCTCGTCATCTTCATCATCAACTTCAACTGCATCGGATGAATCCTTTCGACGAAAGCTACTGAAGCACTTAGGTAATTCGAGCGATCCGACAGCGGAACGCGTTCGTGTAAAGGAGGGTGACAGAATTCAGATTCCCCGATTCCCGAAGCCCGAACAGTACCGTAATTGGAGGATCAAAGTTAGGGATGCTGTTGTTGCTACTTCCGACCAACCCGAAAAGGCATTCGAATGGATTGAGGCAACTTGGATCCCAGGTCAAACTGTTGAAGTCCTTCGTGATTCAGGAATGTTTGTCCATCTTGATGCAAAGCTGGCATCGGCGTTGACGAATATCTTGGAGGGCGACCTCGCGCGGCAAGTTGACATTTTCAAAGAACAAGAAGCAAAGGAGAAACGCTATGCGAGGGGACGCCAAATTCTTTTGATGGTTCACAAGCACTTCAGCACGAACATCAAACATGGTGCAATTTACGACTTTGAGGACTTGCTCTCTGTCCAGCTCATCAACGAGGACCTCAGGAACTTCATGACGAGATGGGACACGGTCATCGCTGGAATGGGCAATGAGCAAAATGAGAAGACCCTTGAAGCGCTGTTCCACCGCCAGATTCGAAAGTTTCGGCCCCTCAGTCATGATCTCAATGAGTATGAGCGAGCTGAGGAAGGGACAGAAAAGCACTCCTATAAATTCTTGATTGACGCATCGAGGAATTATTTGGAGCGCAAGAGGCTTGTTCACATGCGGGATGCTATGTCAAGCAACACAACGGGGCGTGGCAGGACTCCATCGAACAACCCTGCAGTTCCTGGAATCCCCAAGGGTGTATGTATCAAATTTCAAACTGGCCAGTGCACCTATGGTTCAGACTGCCGATTCGAACATGTTAAAGCACCGAAAGGTAAGGGGAAAGGCAAGAAGGGCGGGTCCAGACCCCAGACGCCAAGGAAGTATCGTTCGCAGAGTCCCCCTGGTTCGAAGCCCCAGGTGTGCAAGTTCTTCAAAGCGAACAGATGTGAGAGAGGGAAAGATTGCCCATGGCAGCACCCCGCAACTTCCAAGGCAGCTCCAGCCCCAAAGGCCGAGAAGACCGCTAGTGGAGACACCCCCAAGACGTCGCCGAGGGACAAGAAAAAGAAAAAGGGGAAGAAGGATAGCAGGCCTTCTTCTCAAGATTCGAAAGATTCAAAGGGTTCTCAGTCCCTCAAGTCTCCGCGATCGTCAAAAGGCAGCAATGCTGCGGTGTGCCTCCTCCAGGCGATGGTGTGCGCCGCGACCCTCGACTCGGTCGCCTCGCATCCTTGCTTGCCTAGTGTGACTCACGATGTTTTCCAGAGTATGCCATGTATCAAGAAGTGCGTGCAATTTTCTGATTACCCATCCATTTCGAACTATGAGACTGACGGCGAGCTTTGGCCCTACACTGCCTCGTCGAGAAGGTTTGCGCACGAGTTTCCTGTTGATTATGTTCCGAAGTTCGATGGGAGAGCCGTCTCAGACGCAACTCTTATCGGCACCATGCATGAAGCTATGATGAAGGATGTGCTCAAAGGCACGAAGACTCCTTGCAAATTTCAATGCGACTCTGATTTCGGCTGTGATTCCTGCATCCCCGCAGGCCTAACGGCCGAGCCAGAGAAGCCCGTGACCTCCCCCAAAAGGGGGAAAGCTGCTGTTGCTCGTATGACAATGGATTCTTCTCACATTCCGTGGATCGCAGATACAGGAGCTTCTCAGGACTTGCTATCGGGAACCGATGCGGAGATGGGATGTATTTACGAATCGTCTCAACCTCTGAAATTTTCCACAGCCAATGGGAATATCATCGGTACCAAGCAGGCCAGGGTCAAGATCCAACAGACCGATAGTGTTGTTCGGCCATATGTTCTTGACAAGGCTCCATCCGTGTTATCCGTGGGTATGAGATGCCTCAGGGACGGATACGATTTCGTTTGGAGAGCCCACAGCAGACCTTATTTCCGACTTCCGGATGGTTCACGTATCAAGCTCGAGGTCAAAGACAATGTTCCGTTCATTCCCCCAGCAACTCAAAATGCTGTTCCAGCTTTGTCACAGAGCATTCCAAAGGTTACATCATTACCATCAGCTCCCATTGAAATTGAGGATGAAGTTCTGGTCATTGACGAGGAACCGGAAGCTGTCGAAGAGGTGCTTGTGACCAATGAGGATGATGGGGATGAATTGGGGAACGATGATTTCTTGCTTGAGGACACCATTAGCCAACCGGAAGGTGAGGTCATTGAAGAGTGCCATGACATTCCCTCCGAAGATGCGCCTAAGGTCATCGCTTCCGATTTTGTGTCGAAGCCTATTTTGAAGGACGCCCCTCGCGAACGCGGTGAAGCAGCTTTGCGTGATGAGGCGACCTCACTCCAGCACTTGATGTGTCACACTCCCAAAAACCCCTTTTGCGAGACTTGTAACAGGGCGAAGATGTACAAATATCCATCAAGACAGAAGGGAGGTTCCACTCAAGTCGAGGCCAAGAAGTTTGGTGATCACCTTACGGCGGACCATCTTATCACATCAGATGATCGTGAAATCGGCATTGATCAATCTAGAGTTGCACTTGTGGTTCGAGATGTTGCCACTGATTTCCGTTATGTTTACCCAGCAGCACGGAAAACCTCTCATCAGTGTGTGATGGCATTCAAGCACTTTGTCCGCACCGGGGAAACCGTGAACGTGTTTTACAGTGATCGGGCTCCTGAACTTGTGAAAGCGGCGGATCAATTGGAATGGAAGCATGTTCAAAGTACAAACTACATTTCCAAAACTAATGCTATTGCTGAGAGGAACGTCAGGGCGATTATCGAGGGTACGAGGACCAACCTGGAACAAGCTGGTTTGCATCATTCGTATTGGCCACATGCGGCCAAACACTATTGCATGGCGCATAACATCACGGACCACCCAGATTATCATTCACCATGGAAGGTACGTTTTGGAGAAGATTTTCCCGGACCATATTTGCCCTTTGGTTGTCAAGTCATGACTTGACTTTTGGACCGGCCCGAGAAATCGACCCAACAAGCCTTTGAAGTTTGAACCTACTTCCAGGGCTGGAATATTTCTGGGGTATCCCATTCATCCTGACTTTCTTTGGCGTCACGAATTTCTCGTTATTCCTTTGCGAGATTTGATGGAGAAGGACTATGATCAACCTATTGCTCCTTTGAGGGTAAATCAGATCAAATGTCCGGATGGTGAATTCTCTTTTCCAATGGTCGAACGGCACTTATTGCACATGAATGGCGTAATGCCGGGGCTTGAATATGCTCCTGAGACGCCCGATCCAGCTGCATTGGATGCGCCGCTCTTGGAGGAGGATTTGCCGGCAGAGATGCCAGGCCAGGATGACATCGATGATCAGGAACTCGCTGAAAACCTCGGAAAGCTGATCAAAGATTCCCCCAAAAAGGGACCCGCATCGGAAGAGATGGTCAAAGTCATCGATTTGAAGACCAGCAAGGACACCTTTGCTCCCAAAGATGGAGGTGCTCATTACGATGCGGGGGGTGTGAAAGCCCGAAGGTATTCAGGATCGAGCAAACCCGACAGTATTCCACCTTTTCTTTGGAAAGCAATGTCAACAAAGCAAAGGAGACTTGCCATCATCAAAGATGAACGAGAGAAGGCTCGCGAGGCTTTACTCGATGAGCCCGTCTCCGAGGACCCGGAAGCTTCTTCATCCAAAGCTAGGCCGGCGACCACTGCAG